GTCTTCCTCAGCAAAAAGAGGAGGATTGGCAGCAGTTAGCTCAGGGCTAATCTTCCTCAGAAAAAAAAAAAAGTGTCATTGCTCTGTCTCAGCCTATCTGTTTGTGGGTCCCACAAGATATATTTTTGGAAATGCTCATGAAATGTCAGAATTCAAAATCACATCTGGGCGACTGTTGCCACCATATGAAAGCCACATGGCCTGCAGAGGGGCCTGAGAAACACGGCCAGGGTTCAGGCTGCGGACCTTTCCTTTAAACCGTGCAGCTTTCGTGTTACACATTGGTGTTAATTATGCAATAAATAGTTTTTATTTACAAAGACCTTAGTGAGAAAAAACAAAACGGTCGTCGCCCTGAGAGTCAGAAGCTTCTGCTGTGGCTTTACAGCCCCATCACTAGGATGGAGCCAAAAGGGCGGGGCCCTGTCACCACACGTAGGGGTGCACACGGACCACCTGCCCTTCATTGAGCTGGAGGGGCCGAAAGGCCTGGGTTTGAAGCTGCCACTGACCTTCCAGGCAGCCTTTTCATCTTTTGTTTCCTTGCCCGTAAAAGTGGGGAGGACAAGAAGACCGCCTGGATGGTTCACTGAGACCCTTTAACAGCCAGGACTCCTAATCCAGGGGACTTGATACTTACCAAGGTGACCCACTTCTGTTTGCTCCAGGGCCCTGCTGCATCCAGGCTCTGCCACTTTCCCAACTGTTCTAGAAGCATGGCTCCTGGCAGCAGTGATTCTCCCCTGAGTCACTGGGGACCACCTTCTGCTCCTTCATTCTCACCTGACATCGCCCAACTTCACGAGGTGGGACCCTGGTGTCCTGGGCATCTTTCAGTGGCAAGAGGCAGACACCTTCCCAAAGTCCCTCCAGGGCAGAGGAGGAATTTTCAGGATAGAGTCAGGGGTGTGCATCATGGACCCCAAGGACAGGAAGCATAGTCAGGCCCCTCCAGGGGTGGAATCTGGAGGACCGAGATTCTACCTCGGTAAGTGCTTTCTGTCTGTCCACTTGCTCTGTCTGTCCATTGGTCTCTGTCCGTGTCTCAATGTGTTTGTCTCTCTCCACCCATCTTTGTCTCTCCGTTTCTCTCTTCCTCTCTGTCTCTGTCTGGAGCTCCCTCTGTCTCTCAGGGCCTGGACAGGGTGAGGCAAGCCAGAGGCCCAGGGCATGGCATTTAAGGTGGCACTCCCTCTCGGGTGCCAGCCCTGCCCCTTCATGAGCCCCAGAGTGAGCGCCTCCTTAAATGTGTGTCCTGGGCACCTCTCTTGCTCCAGGCCCAGCTTTTCTCTCTGTCACCCGCTCCCTCTCTTTGTCTCTCTGACTCCCTCCTGTAGCTGAGTGTGTGTTTCTCTCTAGCCACATGGTCTCTGCTCATCTCTGCACATTGGCCGCCCGATCTTTCTGCTCCTCTGGGCACATGGCTGAAGCCGGTTACTCCCCGAGTCCAGCAGTCCAATTTCAAGTTTCGAGGAGGTGAATACAGCCCAGCTCTGGTCAGCCCTTCACACCAGAGGTTGGGGTCCCCCAGCCCTCAGCAGGGGCTTAAGAATAGGCTCCATGAGGAGGGACTGCGTGCGCAATGTGAGGGGCCTCTGGGCTGTGGCTCCCAGAGTCTGTCCCTCCCATGTGAAGTGTGGCACGGGGGTACCCCTCACTGCCAGAACACAGACAGCTTTGCCCAGGCCTCCCTGGGAATTTGGGAAAAACAGAACCAGAACTAAGTTTAAGAACAGGCCCCCATCTCATGGTTTTTTAAATATATGAAGCAAGCGTCAAGCTGCTTCCTCCTTACGCGTCCTGGTTCTCCCAGCTGTATCTGCAGAAAGGAACCATCATGTCCCGTTCTGGGGTCCGATTTCTGATGCCTGGACTGTGTGTGAGGAAGCAGCCTCCGCTGCCGCTCGCCCGCTGGGGGCCAAGTGTTTTAGGGATCTGGGGAGCATCGCGGAGGAGGAGCAACAGCCTTGACCTTGCGGATGAAAGAAGGGTTGGGGAGAGTCTCCAGTCGGTCTCAGTCAGGGGGCACAGCCCACGCAGGCACGGGCGGAAACTCCCAGAGTTAGCCCGCGGGGACAGAGAAGGCCGAGGGGCACCAGCCAGCTCCTGTCTGATTTCTGGCAGGACCTCAGCAGCTGCTTTCCGTGTCTCCTCTGGATGGCTCTTAAGTCACAGTAGGACCATTTGGGGGAAATGCAGCACAGTGTCGATGAGGAAGGCGTGGTGATGGGGCTTTGGGGCCATTTCTTGCCTTGTTGGGAGATGTCAGCCCAGGCGGGGCCTGGGTGCAGGAAAGGCCTGGGGACGGGCTTGGAGACTGGTGGTGGCTGCGGGATGGGGGGCGGGGGAAGGCGGGGGTGCTTTAGGTTAAGTGCACAGCCTGGATTCTTTCCGGCCCTGCGCAGGATTCCTGCAGACCTGCCACAGCCGTCGGGGGCCTGCGCCTGAGTCTAAGACTCTGTCTTTGGCCAGTGTGCTTCTGGGGAAGGCAGCACTCAATCCCCAAGCTTTGCTGGCTTCCTGCAGACAGAGAGAAGAGGCCATTCCTGGCGGAGAAGGCTCCTTGCGAGCACTGGGGAAAAGGTTATGCAGAACAAACGTAGGCGATAAATCACTTTTATGCTGTAATTATAGAATGCCAGCCTGTGGCATCTTTCTCCAGGATCTTTTGTTCCATTCATTCATTTGACTAACATTTGCCAAGCCCCTACTAAGTGCCATGTTCTATGCCAGGTGCTGAGGAATCTCAGGTCCCCTATCCTCCAGACTAGCAGGGAACACAGGTACCTACATAAACAGATAATTACGGTGGGATGTGACAGAGTGTCTTACAAAGTGCTGTAGCAGCACAGAAAAAGCACTTAATTCTATCTAGGGAGTCAAAGGAGGCTTCCTGGAGGAGGTGACATTGACTCTTGAAGCTCAAGTAATAGTTTAGCAAGTGGGAAAGGAAGGTCACGTCAGGAAGGCCTGGCTGGCTTGGACTAGGGTGAGGCGTTTGGAGGAGAGGGTGATGGTTGGAGGGGATGGACGTGGCTGGTGAGGGAGGGTGAGCAGCCTGACCCAGTTGATCTCTTACACTTCCAGCTTGAACCTCTTTGCATCTGCTGCTAGAGTGGCTTCCCTTTGCCCCCTGATTTTATGTAGGATGAGGCCCTGCGCAGGGCTCGGGGTGGGGCGCTGGGTCTTGGCGGACAGAGGTGTGTCTCCCAGGAAACAGCAGCTCTGCCAGAACCCCTGGGGCTGCTCCAGGGGAGGGGCTTGAGGCCCTGCGGGCCCGGCAGTGCCAGGTTGCACACATCACCTTGGCAGTTTGTGGGCAAACCCTCTTGGCCGAGGGGAGATTGCACTGCCAGCCACTTCCTCCAGTTCCTTCCCTCTGCCTGTCGTCACGGTTACCTCGGCCTTGTTGGGGGTGAGGTTGAGGTTGCGGGGAATCAATTTTGTCCAGGTTTCTATTTTCCCAGATGCGGGTCAGCCAGAGGAGCTGTCACTTCTGGTTCTGTTTCAAAGGAGGCCAAGGGGCAGGGAGGTGCTTGGGTGTGGCGGTGTTGACAAGGCACCTCTCCAGCCAGCCTCCCAGGCAGGGTGGGGGTGGGTCAGGGAGAAGCTCAGAGGTGGTGGGGAAGGAGAAAAGGCTGCCCTGCCAGGGCCTGTGCCGATGGCCGTGAGTGCTGGTCTCTGGCCAGGCCCTTGGTCCTGGGCTCCTAGAGCATGCTGGGAGTGCACAGAGAGGCTGTTTATTTTCCTGGCCCAAAGCCCTTTCGGCTGAGACCTTGTTCCAGGCCTCAGGCTGCCAGAATCAACCCCACTGGCTCAAGAAGTGAGAGAGTTGGCAAGCCCAGGGCAATCCAGCGACTTCTCTAGTGGCCTCTGACTCTAGGCTGCCCCAGCCCAACTGGGCTTATGTGTCCTCCAGAGTCTCCTGGTAGGTAATGGACAGGGAGAGGCACCACATCAAAGAGGTCTGGTGGGCTGGGGCTATGTGAGCCAGTGGTCAAGAGCAGCAAGGTTGAATTCAGAGAAATCTGAGTTGGAATCCTGACTCCACCATTTCCTAGTTGGATAGCCTGGGGCATATTGAACTGTTGGGCTTCAGTCTCACCATCTGTAAAATGGGACAGTCATAGTACCTTCCTCGTCAGACATTGATTGTGAGGGTTACATGACCTGTGTTTAAAGCATTTAGCAAAGTGCACAGCAAACAGCAGCTCTGGTGGTTATTATTAATGAAACAATAATAACTGCAACTTTGATTGAAAGTGCAGTGTTGGGGGTGGTGAGTTTCCTCCTTAACCTTTAATGGGCCCTGTTTGATGCATGGTGAATTTCCTAATGTTTCCTGGGGGAGAAGCAAGCCCGGCGTTGCAGGAGGCAACCTCTGCTTGTGTCCTGTGCAGGGCACTTTGGGGAGCCCTGGGGTCCTGGGGGAAGAACGTGCAGAGGCAGGGAAAGGATTAAAACCAGGTGAGGAGGCTAGTTTAGTTGACAAAGAGAGAGATCTGAACCTTTGGAAGGACCAAGAAGGAGGGCGAAGTTACCTTAGGGAGGTGAAAGGGCTGGGGGCAGAATGTGACATCTGCTCACGCCCAAGGCGTTTTCAGAGGAAGTGCCTGGGAACCACTGGCCTGGAAAATAGTGCCCAGAGGACTTGGGCTGGGCAGGAGAACAGACCGGCACCACCCGCTGGGTGTCGCCTCTGTGTGAGTAGACTCACCAGGCTCTGGGCCTCCTGAACTCTGGCAGAACCCAGGTAGCCCTGCCCCTGTGGACGCTGACTCTTCTCAGGGATGCCCACCTGCTCCGAGAGGGTCCTTGGGCTGCCTGGGACACATTTCCATCTCATCAGCTGAAGGCCAGGCTGCTGGCAGACAGTGACCGCTCGCTCACTGCCAAGAGGTGGCTTAGGAAGGGGGATTGTCCATCTGTCTGTGTGTTGGGAGGGAAACCATACTCCAGGCCTGCCACAATGTCTGATCAGTGGCTCTTTGCCCTCACAGCTAGACGAGGAAGAGGAGCGAAGGAAAAGGCGCCGGGAGAAGAACAAAGTTGCGGCGGCCCGATGCCGGAACAAGAAGAAGGAGCGGACGGAGTTTCTGCAGCGGGTGAGCGGGGCTGCCGGCCAGGGCGGGGGCCTGCCTGTTCTCTGAAGTGGGCTTGTGCGCTGTGGACCAGGAGATGTCGTCAATCCTGCAGAACGGGGTGTACCTGCTGGCATCTGCCCAGGCGGCCTCGACCCCTCTGCTCTTCCCGGCCTCATATCTAACGCCCCTTCCGTGAACTGGGACAGCCCCGGGCAGCCTGCAGCAGCTCCTGCCCACGCAGAGCCCTGGAAGGCCAGAGAAGGTGGGAGGAGCCAAGTTCCCCTCCTCTAATTGAGGCTACACCCTTGGTGCTGATTGGCCCAGGTGGCTGGGTCTGGTACTACCCATTTTGGTGCCGTGGTGGCTGCCAAAGTTGTCCAGCATGGGTGTTAACGAAGAAGGTGATGACGCCATGCCCACGGGCTTCGGACGCAGCATCCGGGCAGAGAAAAGCTCCTTCCCTTGGCTGCAGCAGGCACTTCCAGCCCTGCCTCCCTGGCTGGCCGCAGCCCCACTGAAGCTGCCCCCAAGCTCTTTGCTGCTGCCCCTGGGACCAGAGGTCAGCTGTGTGTGCAAAGACCAGCGGAGGGTTGCCCTCCCCGGGTCCTGTCTCTTGGGCCTTCCCTGCTCCTCAGAAAGGTAGATGGCAGTGAAGGAACGTGACCAGAAAGCTAACTAGTCCAGGCCAGTGGTCACCAGCCTCCCCACCCCCAGTCTCTTGTTCATTTCCAAATAATAATAGTAACAATATATAATAATAACATGGGTCAGGCTCTGTTCTACAGGATGCGACAGTTCACAGTAGTTGCTAACATTCGTGAAGTTGGGCGCTGTGCAAAGTGCTGTGTGTACATTATCTCATTGTATTGGCGTATGAGGTGGGTGCCTGTATTATTTTCTGTCTACAGATGGGGAAACTAAGGCACGGTGAGGTTGAGGAACTTGCCCAGGATCCTCAGCACCTAAGTGATAGAACTGAGATTTGAGCCTGAGGCTGACTTCAAAATTTTGCTCTTAACCCTCTGCTCTACTGGCTCTGATTCATTCATTCGTTCATTCATTTGTCCATTCTTTTGCTCATTTGTTGATTTGTTGACAAGTGTGTTTAAACACTAAGTGCCCAGCACTGTGCCAGGTGCACTGGGGGACACCCGGGAAGGAGCAGACGTGGTCCCTGCTAGGGGAGATGGAGAGACAAGGCAGGGCTGGCCTTGGTTTTGTCTAACACTGGGGAATCTATGGGTCTCTTCTCATGCTGGCAACAAGTGGAGAGCAAATCTAAGGTCCTGGGTGTAGACAGTGTGGGGCCGTGTCTGCACCTCCAGACTGTGGGCGTCTGGGGCAGGGGAGGGTTATTATAGGCTGGACTTAGACTCCTGGAGCTGGGCCTCCCTGGAAAAGATGATGGACCCACGTTGGGCGGGAAGTCTTTAAGAAGTTTCTAAGACGCGGGTCTCCCATGGGCCTCTAAGACGGGTGGAGCGTCACATACCTCCTTCCCAGCCCTGGTGCTTGCAGAGCTGGGCAAGGCCCAGCAGGGGACAGAGAAGGCTCACATCAGATCCCTGCCTTCAAGGGCTTGTCAGCCGGTTAGCAGGCAAGATATGCCCAGTGAACGTGCACCGGTGACACACGAGTGCAGTGAACAGTCAGTGCCAAATGAACGGCGCTGGCCGCTCTTCACATAACAGGAACACTTGCACCAGCTGTGTGCCAGGCATTTCACCTGTCTCGTTTAATCTTACAACATTCCAGTGAGATAAATATTGATTATCCCCACTTTAGACATTGACTTGTAGCTCAGAGAGATCAAGTTACTTGCCCAGGGTCACACTACTAGCAAGGGGTGGAGCTGGGATTCATTCATTCATTTGCTGATCCATCCGTCCATCCAATAGTGTTCACTGAGTGCCCTCTGCACAGTGGACAGGCAAGTGATGTCTGCAGAGGGACGGCAGACGAGAAACGAGGAGTAGTAATAGGTGCTGAGCATTATGGTGGGCAAGCCCGGCGAGCTGTGAGAACATATGTGGGAGCCCTATCCTAGTCTAGGCTGAGGAAAGACTCTTATTGAGACATAAAAGAGGATTGGGAGCTAACGAGATAAAGGACAGGGACGGAGCAGTTACCAGGAACAGCACAAGCAAAGGCTAGAGGCAAGAGGTGTTTAAGGATGTGGTTAAGGAATTGAGAAGCATGTCATTGTGGCTGGAGTTTAGGGAACAAGGGGAGAATGGAGAGGCAGGCAGGCCCCAGATCCTTCATATGTCGGGGGATCCTCCATGCTGGTTGTCTGGGGCAACCTCAGTGTATGCCTGCTGTCCTCGCCTAATTACTAATAGCCCCTTCTTTCACTCTCAGGAGTGTCCCCATTAGGATGATGAAGTGCATGGTCATGGGGAGTCGTGGGAAGGTTTCAGGAGGAGAGAGACACCTTAAAAATATCCCTCTGGCTGCGGCGTGGGGCACAGATTGGGGCAGCGGAGAGCAGAGCAGGAAGATCAGTTACGTGGCTGTGGTGTTGTCCGGGTGAGAGAGGAAGGCAGCTGTGAGGACCCAGAGAAGTGCATGGTATCTAGGAGGGAGGTGTGGGCAGGTCTGTCTGGGCCCAGGCCCAATCCTCCCCCTCCCCCCGTGCTCCCCTCATCTCTTCTGGCCTTGGAAGTAGAGGCTGGTGTGAGGTTTAGGGCCCGAATGCCTGCAGACCTGGGGGATTTCCTTGTAACTTGTTTTTTAACAGGTAAAATATTTACAAGGCCCAGGGGTACAAAGGGATATGTGTGTGTGTGTGTGTGTGTGTGTGTGTGTATGTACACACATGTATATACACACATGCATACACATATATATGTATAATGTAAAAAGTCACCCTCCCATCCTTGACCCCTGGACACCCAGATCCACCCAGGAGAGTCTCGTAGCCTCTCAGAATTCTCCTGCCTGGACCAGCCAAGGTCCTGAAGGAGGCAGGAGGCAGGCTTTTGGGTGGGTCACATGGATGCCCTGTAGGCCCCAGGGCCAACCTCAGTACCCCCTCTGTCTGCATCAGGAGCAGCAGCCCCCAGGCTTCTCCCTTCTGTAGGAAGGCCTGACACGGGTTCCCCGGGTACTGGCACAATAGCACCATCTCATGCTGCCCTGGCGCTCTGTGCTCTTCGTAGCCGCTCTTGCCTCGATGGTCACAGTGACTCTGGGAGGAGGTGAGGCAGCCCCATTCCACTGAGATACTCCTGAGACTCCGGAGGGATTAACGTTTGCTCAGGGTCACACAGCGCTGAGTCAGCACTAGAACCCGGGGTCCTCTACTGCCCACCTATTCAGGTGACCCAGCTTCAGGGGGATTGGGGGTGCTGTTCACAGAGGCATAGCTAGCAAGTGGCAGAGTCAGGATTTTAATTCAGACAGGTCTTTGGGCTCAGAAGTCTGTACCAGACTTCTTCCCAATTCTTACAAAGAGTTGGGAGGTCAAATTCTATTTTAGGTGCATTAGGGTAACTTTTTAAAAAATAGAGTCAGAGAATCTTAATGCTTAAAGTCCCCTGGGCCAATCATTATCTTTTCTGAGAGGAAAGTGAGGCCCAGAGAAGGGAAGTGACTTGGCTAAGGTCACACAGCCAGGATGAAAGGCCAGGATGCCCAGCTCCTCACCCTGTGTTTTTTCCACTGCCTTTGCTGACCACAGTGGAGGAGACAGAATCTACACTTGCACTAATTGTATTCTAAAGCAACAAGTGCTTTCATTTTCTCCAGGGCAATAAATACCTACCAGAAGGCAAAACGGTAAACAGAAATGCAAGCCGGGTTATTCACCTCATAATTAGCTTGTGATGATCCTAGCCCACGTTCCTTCACTAATTAGGAAAACAGGCCAGGTAATTGCTGTTATAAAACCACAAACCACTTCTACAATCATGTTAAAAGAGATTCTTCTGAACTCAACTTACGCTTACACAATAAATGAATCTGTAGCCCCACCCAATAAAACCGAGGGAAATAAAACTAAAATCAGTTCCATTCTGACAGCCAGACAGGCAGAGTTCAGGATGTTCCAGGACATCCGCTAACACTTCAAAACCAACAGACTGCAGTGCCGTTCCTATGACAGGTGGAGCAGGTTGTCCCACGTCTGCGTGGTCTTTTGTGTGACACAGGTGTTCACGTATACGGCTGGTTGACATGCAGTCTTTTTAAGGAGATGGAGCTGCACAGTTACTAAACACTGCGTGTCGGCCACTGCCCCTTGCCTGTCCAGTTTTAACTTCCACTCACCATACTACCCACCTCCTTCCTGGCCACCTGCCCTCCAGAGCATCTCCCCCCCCGCCCTCCCCGCCCCCAGCCTTGGACCCATCCCCCCAGCTCACACGCAGCCCTCTGCCCTGTCTCCCATTCTCAGTTCCAGGCTGTGACTGCCAAGTGTTCTCTGCAAGCTTCCTCCTCTTGCTGCTTCTCCTCCTTCTCTCTCTCCGTGTTCTCTTGCTCATAGTTTAAAGTACAAATTCCTTAAACCTCCCTAACCCTGCAGTTTACAAAGTGCTTTTCCCGCAGGAGTTCATTTAATCCCCGTGATCATCATCTTTTTACGATGAGATAACCGAGGCTCAGAGAAGTTAAGAAACTTGCTCTAGACTCTGATTCCAAACCCGACCAGCACTTCCCAGTCTGGCTCTAAACCCACCTCCCCAGCTTTCTACCGCACTGCGTCCTGAAGCGACTGTGCTCTCAGTGGAGGAGTCTTAGCTCCTAAACGCCTCTGAAGCTTTCCCCTGTCCGTGTCCTTGTTCACTGGGGGCCCCCCGCCCCACCTCTACTCCACCCGCGTCAACCCATGTTTCAAACCCAAGGTCACACCCAGCCATTTAGCCGTGTCTACACCCTGGAAGGCTGATGGGCACATAGTCAGCTCTGCCCTGCTGTGTGGATCATTCTTCTCCTTAGAGTGGGAGCTGCACAAGAGCCATGCCAGGGGCTCCCGGGCCTCTGGATGCCCCAGGGCACTCAGTGTACCCAGCAAATGCTCACGAGTGAGTGGATTGAACTGAGATTCGTGAAGGCAGAGGCTCAGAGGATTCAAAGTTGGAGCCGAAACCTTGGCTGGGGAAAACCAGATGGTCAGTGGGTTTGTGAGAAGTCCCCAAGGTCACCAGCTCATCAGACCCAGTGGGCAGGCAGCTAAGATTAGCACCTAACGGCCCCAGACTGACAGGTCACAGACTCGTGGTTTCACGCGGGGTGTCTCCTGGCCCTCAGAGATGGACTTCTCTCGGAATTCTGAGAACAGTGGACCAGGCCAGCCTCCCCGTCGTGCCTCATCCTGTTGAAGCAAAACCCACCGTAGCTGGTTTTTAATATTTTCCTCCTGAGCGTTTCTTTCCTTTGTTGAGGCTGTTCTCCCTCAGCATCTGGTCACGAGGACTGCACATCTCAGCAGTTCTGAGGCCCCCAGGCGCCCGGGCTGCCGCCTCAGCCATGAGCATAAGGAACAGTTCAGTCAGACCAGCCGGTGTGAGGAAGACAGCAGCCCTGGGGTGTGCGCGAGCCCCACCGAGGGCCCTGGAGGCCCCAGAGGAAGCCTGGCCGTCACACACACGGTTGTTCTTTGTCTCACACAGGTTGCTCACCCTCGGCACGGTTGGCATTTTGGACTAGATATTCTGATCATGGGGTCGTCCTGTGCATTGCAGGATGGTTAGGAGCGTCTCTGACTTCTGCTCGATAGATGCCAGGAGCGCCCACCCTCCTCAGTTGTGACAACCAAAAATGTCCCCAGACATTATCAGATGTCTCCTGGGAGGCAAAACCATTCCTAGTTGACAATCACTGGTCTGAAACTTTGCTGGCCCTTGAGTAAATTCCAGCTCTCAAACTGGTTATAAGTTTTTATTTATTTATTTTTATTTATTTATTTTTTTTTTAAAGATTTTTATTTTTTTCCTTTTTCTCCCCAAAGCCCCCCGGTACATAGTTATATATTCTTCGTTGTGGGTCCTTCTAGTTGTGGCATGTGGGATGCTGCCTCAGCGTGGTTTGATGAGCAGTGCCATGTCCACGCCCAGGATTTGAACCAACGAAACACTGGGCCGCCTGCCGTGGAGCGCACGAACTTAACCACTCGGCCACGGGGCCAGAACCCGGTTATAAGTTTTTAGACAGAGTCCAAGAGAAATCATTCAGATGCTTTTCTATGTTACTGGGTTTTTTGTGTGTATGTGTGAGGAACATTGTCGCTGAGCTAACATCTGTGCCAATCTTCCTCTATTTTATGTGGGATGCCACCACAGCATGGCTTGATGAGCGGTGCTGGGTCCATGCCTGGGATCTGAACCTGCAGACCCCAGGCTGCCAAAGTGGAGCATGCAAACTTAACCACTGTGCCACCGGGCTGGCCCCTATTTTGTCATTTTCACCCCCAAGGCTTGAATGGGGTGCCCATCACCCATCCACACTTTGAACATGTGAACACCCCCCAAATCATATCAACATTCTTTCCTTTCCCTGAGCTAGAAGTTCTTCAGAAATCTCACTTGAGGTCTATTTGAAACCTCATTTTGGATCTAGAAGTATGACTATTGGTTGTCTCCCAATGAGCAAAGCTTCTAGATAACAGGGGATAAGGAAAAGGCTGTTTAAATAATTATAGACTAATAACCAGGAAGCACATGTTTTAGGAGGAATTACATGACCACACTGGGCTGGTTGATCCCATAGGTCAAAATATCCTCCACATACATTTATCGTACATCAAAGCACTTTGCCATTGCTCTGCCCTCCGTGTGCCCCGTCTAACCCCTCCAGGGACCCTTCGTGCTCCTGCTTTAGATCCACTTGGCTTCCATTCTTCTGCCCCCCCCCCCCTTTGTTTCTTATGCAAAGGCCCTGAGGCAGGAGAGTGTTTGGCATAATTGAGCGACAGCAAGGAAGCCACCATGGCTGGAGTGAGTTGAATGAGGGAAGAGAAGTGGGACAGGAGCTGGGCTGGCCGCAGGCTATAAACTGGATTCATTCCACTGGTGACACAGGCCAGTGTCACAGATGTGATGGGCACTGCCTGACGAAAGTCAGTAACCCCAGGGGCTCCGTAGCAGATTCTGTGCTTCCTCCAATGGGAACCTGGCAGACAGAAAACAGGCAAATGCCAGCCTGGTGTGCCGTGTACTTACCCAGAGGGAGAGCCTCTGCGCAGAGCCGGTCCCCAGTGAAAGCTTAAAGCCGTGTCTCTGTGTTCGCGCGCAGGAATCTGAGCGGCTGGAACTCATGAATGCGGAGCTGAAGACCCAGATCGAGGAGCTGAAGCAGGAGCGGCAGCAGCTTATCCTGATGCTGAACCGGCATCGCCCCACCTGCATCGTCCGCACCGACAGCGTCAAGACCCCCGAGTCGGAAGGCAACCCGCTGCTTGAGCAGCTAGAGAAGAAGTGACCATGGGCTGGGAGGAGGCGGCGGAGGAGGAGATGGGAAGAGGGGGGAGGAGGCGGCGGCTCCCAGAGCGCCCTTCCTTCGTGCGTGAAAAACTTTACAGTGAGGTCAGCACAGCCAGCGTCGGCCACGCTTCTTTGTGGAACTCAGATCCGCCTCACAAGGGGAAGAACCGGCTGACGAAACCCAGAAGGACCAAGCGCTGAGACCAAAGTAAACCCGAGGTTGGGGCTGTCCTGCTGCGGCCCAGCTTGAAGGAGGCAGGACAGAGGCACCGGCCGGAGAGACACCCAACCAGGCAGCCTGGGGCGCTTCTCTGGCCTCTCCGCCAGGGCGCCCACCCGAGGGACCTCCGAGCAGCCAGGAAAACCCATGAGTTGCAACCAAAATTGGGCTGAGGATGGAACTGAGAGGGAAACTGCAACCTGCCTGCCCCCCGCCCCCTGCCCCCATGCGAGGCTGGAGAGGGGCGTGATGCGGGGGCCCTGCTGCACCCACCCACCCACCCACCTCGGTCGGCGCGGCACTGCCGGGAGCAGCAGCCAGGCGCCCTCGCCGGCCCTGCTGGAGTTTGCTGTGGGCACGAGGCGCGGGCGCCCTTCCAAAGCACATACTCACTGAATGTTTACAGACTGGCTGTCCTGGCAGGGCTTTCAACTGCACATGTTTTTTATACTTTCTTTTTTTTTTTTTTTTTTAATATTTTTTACCAAAAAAAAAAGATTTTATACAAGCAATATATATGTGGATTTCTATAATCACTCGATGTGATACAGCATAGATATGCTACGGTTTGTTTGTTACGAACAGATATCCAGCAGTTATGGCCGTTTTGTTTAACTCTTAAGTACTGTAGTCTCCGGGTGTGGGGGTGGCCGGGGCGGGGGTGGGGCGCATTTCCATCCTGGTAAACCTTCATAGTACTCAGTCCTGTATCGCTCAGTAAACGTTACTCTTACTTACCCAGCTGCCTCTTGTGGTGTCTGCCTAGGGAATGGGGTGCGAGGCCTGTGCAGGGGGCCTCCTGGTGTGCCCTGTCGGAGAATGTTTGGAGCATCTGCTGTGGGCCCTTGGTTTTCACAACAGCCTGCTCAGGTAAGGATTTATATGCCCATTTGATGGATGAGGAAGTCGAGGCTCAGAGAAGTTAAAGAAATCTGCGGTACTTCTTTCATTTATTCACTCCACAAATGTTTCCTGAGTGCTTGCCATGGGTGTACCGGGCTCTTCACAAGGCGCTGAGTCGTCACTGGGGAATAAAACAAACCCAGGCCCTGCGCCCAGGGAGCCTACAGTCATGAGCCAGGTCCTGTGCTTGCTCCATACACAGTCTCGGTGCATCTTCACAGCAGCCTTGCCAGAGAGCAGCCATTGTCCCCAGTTCACAGATGAGGAATTAGAGGCCCAGGGAGATTCCACTTGGCAGCCACCGTTCATCGAGGACTCACTGTGTGACACGTGTATATAGTCTCATTCCTCTCCTGCAACAGTAAGAAATAGGCATCATCACCCCCCATTTTACAAACAACTTAACCGAGGCTCAGAGAAGATAAGTGACTTACCCAAGCTCACCCAGCTGGCGAGGGGCAGAGCTGATGTTTGACCTCTGCCTCCAAAGGCCCATGACTCTCCATCTGTCACTAGCTGACTGTGTGATCGTCCCCATGGTTGAATGTCTCCCCTGATGAGCACAGGAGGCCTATGAGGCCGCCGTGACAGATTTATCCAGGAGGGCTGGATAGAGTGCTGTGCTGTGATCACAGTGTGGACCAGTGGTCCGGGCAGATGTGTGGCTGCTCCAGGACGGAGGGCTTGGATGACAGGCACGCCCTCACCTCCGGAGCTGAGCACCTGACCTGAAGAGCAAGAACAGCTCAGTGTGACGCACACGACAGTCTACCAGGCACTTTCCTGCATGTTCTCTCATTTGGTATTACAGCCGGAGGAGGTAGGTGCCATAGGTGTTTTTAGCTTTGTTGTCCAGTTGTGCAAACCGAGGTTTACAAACATTAAAGTTCGCTCAGCTAGAAAGAGGCAGAACTAGGAGCTGAAGCCTCCTGCCCCATCTTCTAACTGTGTGTGCTCGCTGCTCCATCACTGGGCCGACGTAACTAGTTGTTAATGAGTCTTCATGTCAAGGATAGCAGTGACCTTCGGTTGCTTCCCAAATCCAGAACGAGGCCTTCTGGGATGGACAGGAACCGAGACTAGGTCATTAATATACCTATGGTTCCTTCCTTCCTTGTCTCAGGTCCTCTCCACCCAACACACCTGGTGTGGACCCACCTGAGCCCTGACTTGGAAGCCGGGGTTAGTCAGCCCACCGTCAGCTGTGGCAGCGCATGGTAAACCCTCAGCTATAATCCTTTGATGTGTTTCCAGCCATGAGAAAAATGAAGACGTGGACTTACAAGGGCCCCTCAAGGGACCTGGCAGACATTCCTGCGGGACGGCTGCCTGCCACTGGCCGTGGTTCCTCTGGTCCTGTGCTTGGGGCCACAGCCGGTACCTCCAGAACAGAGACCTCCTTAGCCTCTGCGGATGGGCTGTCTCCCAGAGTCAGTGATTGTGCTCTGCTGAGGCCTGTCCTTGGCGTTTCTTCCTCCCCAGGACCACCGCTGCCTCCTGTGGGCAGCCAGAACTCATGGTCGCTGTCTTCCTCCTAAGAGCCAATGTTCACGTGTTTTCTGTGTGCCTGACATGTCAGAAGTGTTACTGCGGCCAGTCCATGTGAACCTGCCGGGAGGTAGCTGCCATCATCCACATGTTACAGACGACACAACTGAGGCACAGAGAAGAATAACTTGCCCAAGGTCACAGTCCTGTTGGGTGGCAGAGCCAGGATATTCTTGCAGTGTGACTCCAGGTGTATAAAACCAGGCTGGGCCTCCCCTGGGGACAGGTGCTCCATGTTTGCAGTGTGACCTCCGTTGCCAGGACAACTTGTGCAGGTGGCTGGGAGAGATGGTACGTACTGAGAATTCCCAACTCGCAGACCCCTACCTCCAAGTGTATGCACAGACGTACTTTATTTATTTATTTTGAGGAAGATTAGCCCTGAGCTAACTGCTGCCAATCCTCCTCTTTTTGCTGAACAAGACTGGCCCTGAGCTAACATCCGTGCCCATCTTCCTCTACTTTATACGTGGGACGCCTACCACAGCAAGGCTTTTGCCAAGCAGTGCCATGTCCACACCCTGGATCTGAACTGGCAAACCCCAGGCTGCCGAAGCGGAATGTGTGCACTTAACCACTGCGCCACCGGGCTGGCCCCACAAGACATACTTTAAAGACAAACAGATTCAAAAGCCAACCCTCCACTGACTAGCCGTGAGCCTCACTTTCCTTGTCTGTAAAGTGGGAACACTAATAAGCTGTCTTTCTTATGGGGTTGTTATCAGGGTCAAATCAGGAATGCATGTAAAAGTGTTCTGTGAAATAAAAAGCTCCATAAAATTATCTTGCCCTCTGTTCGCGTGGCTAGTTGTTATTTCCCACATAGTGCGAATTATTTAAAAAATATCTTTTATTCTCTAAAGGTGGCAGGAGAGTTCGTGTTCTGGCCATGTATCCAGTTCCCAGGGTGAAGAATGCCGGGGATCCAAGACTTCTGGGTTCGTTCAGCTCCTGAATGGCCACAGACAGCTGTGTTGGGCTCATCATCCCCTCCCTGGGCCTGCCTATTCTCTCGTGCCAGGTGCTCATGATAAGACCTGTGCCACCTCTGCCCAGGGTTGCTGTGAGAATCAGCTGTGCAGCTCGATAAGGACAAGACCTAATAGCCATCAGATAGGCAGAAACTAGTATGTGTTGGTCAGGATGCAGACTGAAGGGAATTTAAATATGCTGCCAGTTGGAAATTGGTGTGAGTACTATGTAAAGCCATTTAACAACAACTGGTGACACTAAACCTAAACACATCCTTTGACCCAGCAATTTCCCTCCTAGGTATATACCTGGGAGGAACTCTAGCCTAGGGGCCCGAGGAAATGTATAAGAGTGCTCACTGAAACTTTGTAATGAGACATTGGAAACAACCTAAATACCTATGAACAGAAGAACAGATAAACAAATTGTGTTTTCGTAAAATCGAAGATTCTTCAGTGGTTAAAAAGAATGACCCAGAGCTACAAGTATCACTGTGAATAAATCTCAGAAACATAATGTTGAGCTGCAGGATAGGGAGCAAATTGCAGAAGGATATGTGCAGTGTACCATTTATGTAATCTTTCTAAACAAGCGAACTGATATTTTATTGTTTACGGGCACACAGAGATCTGGGTGATAGAGGTAGAAACGCGTGCAGAGGAATGCTCTAAATATCAAAATCAGTAAGAGGGAATACCCCCGGGGGTGGGAACGAAGGGGATTGGGGAGGCCATCTGCAAGGGTAAGGACACTGGGTTTCAACTATACATGTGACATCTTGTTTATTTTTAAAAATCTGAATCAAATGTAGGATAATATTAGAATTTGTCAGAGGCGGGGTGATGTGCACAGACACGTGGGTCACATTCTTCTCCACACTTTGCTGTATGCTTGGTACATTTCATAATAAAAGACAAGCCACAACACAAATAGAAGGTATGTTTCTCCCTTCTGTCCTTAGCAAACTCAGGAAATAAAAACAAAATCTGAGGTTACAATGGAGTTGCGGCATATGCTCTTTGAATTTATGCAAATTTAATGATATGCCTGGAGGGAGTGGGAGACATTCAAAGCCTGTGATCTGTTTGGCTGGCCCTGCAGTCAGTAAGCCTGTGACCCAGGCAAGGATGCCCTGGGCGAGGGCACCTTGGGGAGTGTCCGTCTGCTCACTTCCATGGCTCCTGCTCGCTGCTCTCTACACAACGGGCAGTTGAAGCCTTGTGCATGCATGTCCAAGGTTAATTTGGACTCTACGTTTTCTCCTTACAGGCTGACTTTTCACCCCAAGCCTTATGTCAAATGCAACTCTGCTGCACCTCTGAGTGGAGCTGTGGGCGACAAGCCAAGCAAAGGGGCAGTGATTAAAAGACAAGAATCCAGTTTTCACAGCTACATTCATTTTCTGTTGCTGCCGGAACAAATTACCACAGATGTAAGGGCTTAAAACAACACAAATGTTATTATCTTAGCGTCCTGGAGGTCGGGAGTCCAAAACGGGTCTTACCGGGTTAAAATCAAGGTGCCAGCCAGCCTGCGTTCATCTTGCAAGCTCTAGGGGAGAATCTGTTTTCTTCTCTCTTCCAGTTTAAGGAGACTGCCCGCAGTCCTCGGCTCATGGCTGCTTCTATCTTCAAAGCTAGCAGTGGCTGGTTGAATCTTTTTACTTCATGTCACTGTGACACTGACTCTTCTGTCTCCCTTTTCCATCTTTTTTTTTTTCTTTTTGCTGAGGAAGATTAGCCCTGAACTAACATCTGTGCCAGTCTTCCTCCACTTTACATGTGGGTCACCAGCACAGCATGGCTGACGAGTGGTGTAAGTCCACACCTGGGATCCAAATCCATGAACCCAGGCCACTAAAGTGGAGTGTGCCAAACTTAACCACTACACCACAAGGCCGGCTCCTCCCTCTTCCATCTTTTAAGGACTCTTGTGATTGTATTGTGCCCACTTGGATAATTGAGGATACTCTTATTTTAAGGTCAACTGATTAGCAAACTTAATTCCGTCTGCAACCTTAATTCCCCCTTTCCACGTGACATAACACATTTGCAGGTTCCAGGGCTTAGGACATGGACATCTTTGGGAGGCCATCATTCTGCCTACCACAACAGGAAGTTAAGAGTTGGGGGTTCTTAACTGTAGCCCTCCTCACACTCTGGCAAGATAGGCTGTTTGCCGTGTAAGTGCCATGAGGATGGAGTCCCTCCATGGGGCCTCCCCAGTGCCTGGCACAGTGCTGGGCACATAGCAGATGGTCAACACACACAATACACAAACAGACAATACACAGAGACACACACACAAGCTCACAGATACATGATGCACTGTAGACGCAGACAAACACAGTTGCATAGACAACACACAGACATACACATAGATACACAGAAACACACATTTATTCATGTAAGGTATGAATAAGGTATGATTAAGCATAAAGTCATGAGATCGATGCCAGTCTTACTCCTTTATGTTACATTTCTGTAATTTTGAAATGAGCTAGTTCTCCAAACTGGCAAACCATCTTTCTTTGGTAAGAGCTAAGCTGAATTTTTCCTTTGGCTCTGAAACCGGCTCTGTGAGTGATTCCTAAAGAAATGACTTCTTTTTGTATGTGTGTGTGTGTGTGTGGAAGATTAGCCCTGAGCTAATATCTGCCAATCCTCCTCTTTTTTTTTTTTTTATCTGAGGAAGACTGGCCCTGAGCTAACATCCGTGCCCATCTTCCTCTACTTTATATGTTGGATGCCTACCACAATCTGGCTTGCCACGTGGTGCCATGTCCGTACCTGGGATCCAAACCGGCGAACCCTGGGCTGCTGAAGCAGAACGT